AGGGGCCCCCAGAGAACAGCAGGTCACCCTCCAACACTGCACTCAAACCCTAAACCCTAAACCCTAAACCCTAAACCCTAGCTGTAGATCCTCTCTAAGGAGCTCTTATTGAAGGGAATCGTTCGACTGGGCGCAAGTAAAGTTCAGGAGTTGGAGCCTAGGGTTTAGGGTTTAGGGTTTAGGGTTTAGGGTTTACTTTGCTGGTCAAGTCCTGCTTCTTCTGCTGCTGCCTTCTGAGCCACAAGAGCAGCAGCAGAAGCCCTCAGCTCATCATCGCCCATAGCAGCAATTGGCTTCCCTTTATGCATCAGCAAATCCCCTTCTGCTGCTGCTGCTGCTGCTGCTGCTGCTGCTGCTGCTGCTGCTGCTGCTGCTTCGGGTGCATCTGGATCTGGAAAGGCCTGGGAAGACAAGTGCAGATTTGCTGCTGCTGCTGCTGCTGCTGCTGCTGCTGCTGCTTCCTCGTCGCTGCCGTCGCTTTCCCCCAAAACAAAAGATCTCTTTTTTCTCTTTCTTTGCTGCTGCTGCTGCTGCTGCTTCCGCAGCAGCCGCTGCTGCTGCTGCCGCAGCAGCAGCAAACGAGAGTACATCAGTTCCTCCGCATCTGCTGCTGCAATTGCTGCAGCGCGGCGGCTGCCTTGCATGCGCTTTGATGTTGCTGCTGCTGCTGCTGCTGCTGCTGCTGCTGCTGCAGAGCTGCTGCTGCTGCCGCTGTACAGACGCTCGTCACGAATGTTGCTGCTGCTGCTGCTGCCAATGAAGTGCGCTGGAGCAGAGACCTGCAAACAAACCCTAAACCCTAAACCCTAAACCCTAAACCCTAGAGGATGCGGCGCTGAAGTGTCTGGAGGCTGACACGCATGCCACTGCTCAGGAGCTAGGGTTTAGGGTTTAGGGTTTAGGGTTTAGGGTTTAGGGTTTAGGGTTTAGGGCTGGCCTTGGTCAGATCTCTCTCGGCGCCTTTCACTTTAAGGCCCCAAATAGTCCTTTTGGGTTTCTTGTTGCTCATAACATCAAAAGGGTTTACTTTGCTGCTGCTGCTGCTGCTGCTGCTGCTGCTGCTGCTGCTGGCAGCAGCAGCCTTCTTGGCTTTCCGAGCTGCCATTTTTCCTTCTGCTGCTGTTGCTGCTGCTGTTGCTGTTGCTGCTGCGTTGCTGCTGCTGTTGCTGCTGCTGCATCGAGTCCATACGCAGCAGCAGCGATGTGGCTGCTGCAGCAGCTGCTGCTCTTGCTGCTGCTGCTGCTGCTGCTGCTGCTACGCTTGAAGTATGTATCGGGAAGAAGACTTCTGAATCGAAGCTGCTGCTGCAGCAACAGCAGCAGCAGCAACAGCAGCAGCAGCAGCAGCACGGCCCCACAGTGACTGCAGCCGCGGATCTATGGAAACGGCTCTATGAAATGCAAGGCAGCAGAAGAGAAAAATATTTAGGGTTTAGGGTTTAGGGTTTAGGGTTTAGGGGCAAGGGTTTAGGGTCTGGGAAGTTTAACCATAACGGATGCATGGCTGCTGCTGCTGCTGCTGCTGCTGCTGCTGTTGCTGCTGCTGCTGCTGCTGGGGGGCCCCCGAGGGCCTCACTGCCGACAGAGCGGTGGCAGCACAACCTGTGCTTGAGCCTTAAACCCTAAACCCTTATTTCTAAACCCTAAACCCTAAACCCTTAAGCATAAACCCTAAACCCTCGATCCTGCGGCAACTCGAGCAGCTGGACTCCTAGAAGAGCGTGTGATCTCAACACCAGGGCCTGAAACCCTAAACCCTAAACCCTAAACACTAAACCCTAGCGCTAAACCCTAGACGCTAAACCCTAAACCCTAAACCGCCGAGCCTTGGCTTGCTTGCTGCTGCGGCAGCTGCTCTACCATGGCAGCACTCCGCACGATGGCCCTAAACCCTAAACCCTAAACCCTAAACCCTAAACCCTAAACCCTAAACCCTAAACGCTCGGTAGACGAAACCCAATGCTATGTCGGCCAGGGTTTAGGGTTCACGTTCTAGGGTTTAGGGTTCTAGGGTTTAGGGTTTAGGGGCCATGGATCTCCTCCGGACTGCTGCGTGGTTTTGCTTCTGGGCTGTCAGCTGCTGCTGCTGCTGCAGCGGGGGAAAAATTTATCTGCGCAGCAGCAGCAGCAGCAGCAGCAGCATTGGCGTTCTTCAGCAGAAGCCAGAGGCAGCAGCAGCAGCAGCAGCAGCAGCGGCTTCAACCTGGGGAGCTCTTGCCTTCGTGTATGGATCCCCAGCAGCAGCAGCAACAGCAGCAGCAGCAGCAGCAGCAGCAAGGCAGCAGCAGAAAGTGCTGCGGCAGCTGCCTCGATTTGCAGCAGCAAAAGACACAGGAGGCCCCTCCGACAGCAGCAGCAGCAGCAACCACGATAGCAGTAGTAGCAGCAGCAACCACGACAGCAGCAGCAGCAGCAGCAGCAGCAAACCTCGCAGGACCTCTCGTAAGCCTCGTTCCAGCAGCAGCAGCAGCAGCAGCGGCAGCAGCAGCAGCAGCAGCAG